CAAAGTTATTTATTCTATGCACTTGGGTAAAATCTGTTTGAAAAATACAGATAGTCCCTTTTTTATGCAGTAGCCCATTATCCATATTCTAAAAATGCAGCATTTCTCTGTTTCAATGCTCCTTTGTATCCAATTTCACATCATCCTATATTGCAGCATGAACATGGTGGGTGCTCTTGACGCCAACACAGATCACAAAACACTTTTACAGTTCAAATCATCGGTGTCTGATCCTGGAAATGCTCTCTCTGGATGGAAATCCAGTTTATCTCACTGTACTTGGTTCGGTGTCTCTTGCGCTGACGGTGATAACAGAGTCCGCTCTCTCCAGCTTGCAGGACTTGGGCTATCTGGTTCCATACCACCTCAACTCTCCAACCTCTCCTCTCTTGAAATACTAGACCTTTTCAACAATTCTTTTTATGGCCAAATTCCAAGGGAATTTTCCAGGCTAACCCTCCTTCAGCACATTGTTTTAGCGACAAACTCCATTAATGGCACAATCCCTGCTGGTCTCTCTCAATGTCATAACCTCAAAGTGATCAGGTTAGAGTTCAATCAACTCACTGGAAACCTTCCATTAGAACTTGGTCATCTGCCAAGACTAGAATTTCTCGACATTGCAGTGAACAATCTCACTGGTTTAGTCCCTCCTTCATTTGGAAATCTCTCTTCCCTTACTTTTCTAGCACTAGCAAGAAACCATTTCTCTGGCAATATTCCAAGTGAGATTGTTCTCCTCCAAAACCTTCGAGCTCTTCAGCTCTCCGAGAACCAATTCACGGGTAACATCCCTCATTCCATCTTCAACATGTCTTCTTTGGTCTCTTTATTCTTAACGGACAATGGACTTTCTGGAGAACTACCAATTGACATGGGGACCAAACTTGAGGAAGTGTTCTTGGGTAATAACAAACTGGAAGGACTAATTCCCAGTTTTTTATCCAGTGCCTCACAAATTCGTAACCTGGACTTGAATTCAAACAATTTGCAAGGAACAGTTCCATTACTTGGCGCCATGGAAGATCTTGTCATACTACATCTAGGCAAGAATAATCTCTCTTCTAACACTTGGTTGAATTTACAGGTAATGAACTCTCTTGCAAACTGCACCAAATTGGAGATTCTCATGCTGAATTCCAACAGACTAACCGGTGATCTTCCAAGTTCAGTTGCAAATCTATCAACCCATCTCAAAGAGTTCTGCATGGATGAAAATTTTCTAACCGGGGGCTTTCCACAAGGATTTGATAGATTTCAGAATCTCACAGCCTTGGCTTTGTATCAAAACTCATTCACTGGTGAAATACCGGGCTGCATAGGAAAACTTCAACAACTAAGGAGATTTATGGTACAAAGGAATATGTTTTCTGGACAAATTCCTGATATATTTGGCAATCTTACAAAATTATATATACTCACATTGGGATATAACCAGTTCTCTGGTAGAATTCCGGGGAGTATAGGAAAATGCCAGCATTTAAAGACATTGGGTCTACCCCGGAATAAGCTTGATGGAAGCATACCATTGGGGATTTTTGGGCTTTCCAGTTTAACTAATTTGCATTTGGCACAAAATGCGCTGAGCGGTTCCTTACCCCGTGAAGTTGGACGATTGAAACAGCTTGGAGTCATGGATGCTTCCGGTAATATATTGTCAGGAAACATTCCAGCAACAATTGGTGCTTGCTTAAGTCTGCAAAACCTCAGCTTAGCAAGAAACAGACTTGTTGGCGTAATACCAGAGTCAGTGGGTAAATTAGCAGCACTGGAGAGATTGGATCTCTCTTCTAATACTCTCTCTGGCCAAATTCCCAAAGTTCTAGAAAATCTTCGAGTTTTGAAGAGCCTAAATTTATCATTCAATAACTTGGAAGGACAAGTTCCAGCAAAAGGTGTCTTCATGAACCTTAGCTGGAGTTCTCTCCAAGGAAATGAAATGCTCTGTGGCAGTGACCAAGTACTAGAAAGGCTTAGAGTCTCCAAATGTACTACGGAAAAAAAGTCGAACAAGCATTTGTTACTTGAGATAATGATCCCACTAGCCATTTCCATATTACCTGTGTGTGCAGTATCATATTTCATATGGGCTTGGATCTTCAATAAGAAGAAAAGGAACAGAGGAAGTTTTTCATCTCCTGCTCTCAAGGGATCTCTGCAAATGATTTCTTACTCTGAAATCTGCCTTGCCACAAATGGTTTTGCTACAGAAAACTTGATAGGAAAAGGAGGCTTTGGATCCGTCTATAAGGGAATATTCGACACAGGAGAACATGGAATCCACACCATCATGGCAATAAAGGTTCTCAACATGCAGGTTAGCTTACTGCAGAATGTGAAGTTTTGAGGAATATTCGCCACCGAAACCTTGTAAAGGTTTTTACTTCGTGCTCTAGCATTGATCATAGAGGAGCTGAATTCAAGGCATTTATTATGGAATTCATGACTAATGGCAACTTGGATCAATGGTTATATCCAGAACACACTATGTCCGGTTCCACTCTGACTTTAACTCAGAGATTGAATATTGTCATAGATTTAGCTTCTGCCATGGATTACCTACACCATGACTGCAATCCACCTATTGTTCACTGTGATTTGAAACCTGGAAATGTACTATTAGATGACAACATGGGGGCTCATGTGGGAGATTTTGGATTGGCAAGATTTCTATGTCAAAGTCCATCTCAGGATGAGAGCAGCACAATAGGACTAAAAGGCTCAATTGGTTACATTCCTCCAGGTATTAAAAACAAGTAGTGCTTCAAATCATCAGAACTTCTCTTATTTTTGGGTAAATTGATAATTTTTCTGAAATGGGTATGTTATATTAATATGATCTTGTGTTTTGTTATAGAATATGGTTTAGGTGGCAGAGCTTCAACTGAAGGTGATGTCTACAGTTTTGGAGTTTTGTTGCTTGAGATATTCACAGCAAAGAAACCCAGTGATGAGATGTTTCAGGAAGGCTTGAACATGGGCAAATATGCATCTGCTGTTCAGGGGAATCATGTTCTGGGAATTGTTGATCCAAGGCTTTTAAATGACGAATTTTCCGAGCAAAGCCAGTGGACAAGTTCTTCTCCTGCCATTGACAGTAGCAGCAGCAGCACCGACGCAATCACTATATGGCATAGTAGAAGTGAAGAGTGCCTAATAGGTGTGATAAGAATTGGTTTCTCGTGTGCCGCTTATTCAGCAAAAGATCGTTTAACCATGAGAGAATCCTTGATGAAGTTGCAAGACATTAGAACATCTCTGCTCGAATGCTAAGATGTAGAAACTGAAAGACTGTGCATACAGCATATGAATATATATATATATATATATATATATATATATATATATATATATATATTTCTTCTCTTTTAGCAATAAAGCTTTGAGTTACTAAAGTTTCAATTTAAGTGAGTCAATTCTCTTTGGTAAAGATTGCTAACTGTGAATAAGTTAGGTAGCTAATATATACTTGATATTCTGTACTTCTTTACGTTTCAGAGGTCACCACAACAGTGGTACAAAGGGTATGACAAAGAAAATGAAATTCAAACAAGCAATCGAATTTTACAATCATACAATAACAGCAACATAAACCTTAAAAAAACTTTTGATTTGAAAGGAAAATCATATTGCATTTGTGAGCGCTGTATGAATGATTTTTCTTTATAATAGGTTTCCTATAAGTCACACTAGACCAGGGTTGCAAATGAACAGCTCAAAATCAGCTTGTTTAGGGCTCAGCTTTTATCTGTTTATTTAGTAAAGGGGTCTAACTCGGAGTCATTAGCTCGGGAGCCACTTAAAGAGGCAAACAAGTCAAGCTCAATCTTGTCAAGTAGAAATACAGCTAGACTTAAAACACTATTTCTGGAGAACTAAACACCACTCTTATTTGATTTTGACCATGCAAATGTTGAACAATCAGATACTCTAGTCAATTTGATTGCAGCCCTATACCAGAGGCATATTAAGTATTTCTTTCTTTTTAGCAGTAAAACCTCAAGTTCTTAAAGTTGCAAACTGAATTGATATTTATTCTCCCCAGTGAAGATTGCTAACTATGAATATGTAGGGAGGTCTATACTCTATACTTTGTAACGTGAGTGAAAGTTAAAATACAAATTTGTCTTCGTGTGAGATTTGACCAAACCTCGGGGGTGGTGTTGTAAAAAACCTTTAAAAGAATATACTCTTTGGTTGTGCATTTTTACTAAATGATATCCCAGTCTCTCCTTTGGTTGTTTGAAACATTTTTGGCGGTAATGGGGAATAAGGCACTGCAAACAAGTTTCTTGACTGTTGTAACCTAGTTACATGAGCTCGAATATGTTATGCGCTGTTGTTGTGTGTCGATCGCTGAGAGTCAAATTTATTAGATCTCCAAACTGAAGGGCACGTCACAACTAAATATTTATATTTTCAACATTTTCTAGAGTGAACTATTGTTTTTAAGTACCATATATCGTCCAACAAAGGCACTTCAATCATTTTAAAGTAAAAATGTAATTAGAGAAACATAGATATTACATGCATGCCACGAGACATTTGTATTATACTTAATTTATACCCAATATCCATTCTTCTAGATGGGTAGCTGAAAATGGCAAAATAATACCAGAAGGTGGAGGAGGCCCCTGGGCCCTCGCACAAGGTTTATATTAGCTTTGATAATAAGAACAAAAAAATTTGTCCACGCGTGACATAAAAACAACTTAAAGAAAAAAATAATAATAAAAAATAAAATAAAAATAAAAGGACATGAAAACAACAATATGGTATAACTTTATCTGGATCATCAAAAGGAAAAATTTGCATGCAATATCCATTCTGTAGGTTTTTATGGTAAGTATCCTGCCCGTATTCTATGGCAAATATACATGCATAAACGTGAACAAGAAAGTATATAAGCCATTAGATAACAGAATATTTAGTACTTATCCAATGTGGTATAACCTATTGTATTTTAGTTGATTAATGTGACCATATTATTTAGCACATACCCAAAAAAGCACGGTTATTGTCCAGAAGCTGAATCCTTAGTATTGCTGCATAGTGATTTAAGCCTCCCTTACAGCTGCATGGATGCATCAATAGCAAAATCAAGCAGAGCTTATTGTCCAGCTTTCACAAGGGAATCTATAACGACTAAATGGGCTATGGTAATGTCATACAAACAGAAATTTTCCATCTACTTTAAACTAGCTTCTATAACAGTATTTATTTATTTTTAGACCATACATATACACTTGTTGCCTGTCTCACAATTTGAACAATAATACATGGCATATGTAAAAGTTATAGGACACAATAAAACTTTACATAACAATAACTTCATCATCTTGCCGTACATGAATACTGGAGGGATACTAACAAAAGAAAAAGGATAAAAGTTACATTGTGACAATAAAATAGTGATCATCGATTACTAAGAAAACATGGCGCACCTGAAAGGAACAGCATCACAGATTACAGCTTTGTTTCTGGATGCCACTTTATGCTGCATCCAACACTTTTGGCAAATGGAGAAATGACTTGAACTTGTAATCAACACCATTATTAAGAAAAAGAATAGAAGGAACAATGAAAGAATAAAAATAAATAAACAAGGGTACCTGGGTTTTTGAACTGATGATGCAGGCTGGGCACTCAGAACACGGTCTATTGCTAGGCTTAAGTCCCTGAATATGTGTTGTAGAAGATAATTAAGAACTCATGCTTAAGGGATAGAAATTGAACGAAGTTTTACGTTATATTTATTCACAAAGCTAGGTATTGCAAAAGCTAACCTTCCTGTGACAGGCACATTATTACTTGGTCGTGAATCATCAAACTGACCATGATACACCAGCTCAAAAGGCCTTCGACCATCCTGTTATAAGATGATGATGTTTAATGCCTTGCAGAAAATGTCAAATATATTGACCTTGTCATTTCAATGACGGATTGATATGTTCAATAATTGTATCAAAGTGATCAGTTCACGATTTAGATTTTCACGAATTAAGATTGAGAACTCCAAGAAAAACTGAGATAAAGATGCCAAGTTGGAAAAATAGAAGCCAATAACTGCAGATCGTCATTACCTTTTTGAATAGGAAAAACTCTGGTGTGCAAACAGCTCCGAAGTCTCTTGCAACATCTTGAGACTGTAGATTAACATTTCAAGCCATGTAAAAAGATCTATTAAAACTTTACCCGCAGAAGAATTTGTTAATCTGTCTATTTTTCTTATGGTAAGCACTAGTTATCAACTTTGGAGGAGGAATATTTTTGTATTTACCAACAATATAGCATAACAACATAGTCAGTGTGTGAATTTATGTATTTATGTTGGATTATTATGAAGCATGGACACAGACAAAGGATATGGACACAACAAAATGCATACACCAGAATACCACAAATTTTTAAAAGATAGGATACAGGTACAGTGAGAACATGACAATGTACATATGCATGCATATCCTGACAAACCCTGAGATTTATGGAATCACCATTGTTTTCAAGTGTTGAAAAAAATTTGTGCCCAACCTCCATTGAGTTTTCATGAAATTAGTTATTAGTCCAGTTAAAGAAGTAATTCTTAAATCCCCAAAATGCCTTTATGTATAGCAAGATAACAAAACTGATATATTATTCATATGAAATGACCATTTAAATAATAATATTTTGGTGCCTGTTCCTGGAGGTGTAGGTGTTTGGAAAGACATTCAAAAGGGATGGAATGAGTTTTCTAAACATATCAGATTCAAAGTTCATGATGGTAGGGAGATTCGGTTTTGGAAGGATGTGTGGTGTGGAGACCACAAGCATGCATATTCTTTCCCTAGACTGTTTAGGATTGCGGTGAATAGGCATGCCTTGGTGGCTGACTGCCATCGTCTTGATAGCAGGAGACCGGTTTGGGATGTGCTGTTTCAGCGATCTTTTCAGGATTGAGAGATGGATGATGTGTTTGGTTTTTTAGAGTTGTATAACAAGGTGATCTGGAGAGGAGGTAGGGATTCTCTTGTTTGGGTTTCATCTGCTAGGGGAATGTTTAGTGTGAGATATTTTTTCGGATGCCTGGTAGACTTGGATGGGGTGGTATTCCCGTGGAAGGCTGTGTGGCGCACTAAGGCGCCATTGAAAGTGGTCTTTTTTGCTTGGACGGTTGTGTGGGGTAAAATTTTGACGTTGGATAATTTGAGAAGGAGAAAGCTTATCATGGTGAATGTGTTGCATGTGTAAGTGCAATGGCGAGTCGGTTGATCATCTTCTATTTGCATTGTCCAGTGGCAGTTGATTGTTGGAACCTTTTGCTAGGTTTATTTGGAGTTTGTTGGGTCATGCCTAGATCTACGAGAGGCCTGATGGACACATGGAGAGGGGGTTGGGTGGGAGCACAGGCTCGAGGGTTCTGGAGGATGGCGCCTTTATGTCTTTGGTGGTGTTTGTGGAGGGAGTGAAATAGAAAATCCTTTGAAGGACAGGAATCTTCCATTACTGTTCTGAAATCTTCTGTTATTAGCTCTCTTTGTTTTGGGGGTTCGGGTAGACTCTGTTCCTCTGCTGAGGAGTCTATTGAGTTTTTGGCTTCCTTGGGGCCTTAGGGTACTGGGTACCCAGGTTTTTGTGATTTGTCAGGGATGCGTTCCCCATTTGAACGCATTTTTTAATGAATTATTTATTTATCAAAAAAAAAAAAAAATGGCTAGATTTCCCTAATCATTTTAACACTTTGATTACAAATAATAAATAATTTAACATAATTAATATTTTATATTTAAAATACTAGATACATTAACTGAAAATTGAATATAAAATTTATCAAATTATATATTTATATACATAATAAAATTTATTCTATTAATATATAATTGGATATTTTAAATGTATGTGTGTTTCCAAATTAAAAATATAGTTTAAGTATCAAATAAAAAATTGGAATCAAATATATATTTCTATATGTTGAAAGAGAGAGAGAGAGAGAGAGAGAGAGAATATATGAAAACTTATATGTTATTGAGTAAGTAATACAATAATACAATGGTATTTATATATGAGAAGCTACAGGAGTAGGTGAGTGGAGAACAAGAAAACCCTATTCATGGTAATTCTATATATGGTAATAAGGGGTAGGTGACAACTCATACAGTACTAACTGTACACGTGTGACAACTCATACAATACTGCACAACACTCCCCCTCAAGCTGGAGAGTAAATGTCAATAACTGCCCGCTTGCTACATATGGAATCAATAGAGTTCTTGAGTAGCGCCTTAGTGAAGATATCTGCCAACTGTCTACCAGAAGGAACGAAAGGTGTAACAATCTCATTCGAGTCAACTTTAGATCGAATGAAATGGCAATCTACTTCAATGTGTTCAGTCATCTCATGGTAGACTGGATTGCTAGCAATATGAATAGCTGCTTGATTGTCACAATAAAGAGGAATTGGGTACTGGACTGAAATCCCAAGTTATTGTAAAAGAGTTTTCAACTAGGTAAGTTCACAGGCAGTGTGTGCCATGGCACGATACTCTGCTTCAGCACTGGAACGAGCCACAACTGACTGTTTCTTACTCCTCCAAGTTAAGGTGCAATAACCCGTGGTGGATCGTTGGTCAGAAGGAGAACCGGCTAATCTGCATCTATATATCCGAAGATATCCAGAAGATTGATAAAGCAGACCACATCCCGGAGCACCCTTGAGATACTTCAAGATGCGTTCCACTGCATCCATATGAGGTACTTGAGGACTGGTCATGAACTGGCTCACAACACTGACTACTGATGGTCACAAATTGTTACCACTTAAAATTACCACTTATAACAATAGCACATATATCAATGTACAATAATGCTATAGTAAGGGATTGTCGAACCACAAGGATCGCTTATTTATGGCAACCAAAATTGTAAAATTACTTTTTAGTTTGATAAAAGAGATGATAGTTTGACTGATTTGTCACAATGAATTGAAATTGCATAGAAAACAGTAAATAAAATGGATTAAACTTATAGAGAGAAAGCTACGGAATTGACTTCACCAAAACCTCATAAACATGCTAACTTGCACTCAACTTGGGGAGAAACAAGTATGTATATAAAATGATGTGTAGAAGTATAAAACAACCATAACAACTTCCAGAAAATCATACATTTCAGGACTAAGCATAACCCATCTTTGGTTGGCATGGTTCATCCACCTAAGCTAGGTTGTGGTATGAACCATCTTCCCTAGGCATGGCCTATCAAGGTCTTTCAATTGTATGTTGCAGCACATAAAATTCAATTATCTATCATAAATTATCTTCAGTTGATATGTACCATCTACCTAACTAAATTAATCTAAAGGTGTAGCATGATCCATCTTCCTTAAGTATAATCTATATAAATTCTCAACTACATGCCAATAGAACCATTTCATAAATTCACTCCCATTGTTACTATAGGAAATCAAGTACATAATTGTGCCAATATGATTTCTAAGACAAGATAAACATATCAACATAACTATATATCCAAATGAAAATCACATACATTAATTCAATGTAAAAACACATCAATTCAATGTAAACAACTTCCAATTTATGAAATCAATATATACAAGATGAATCCCCAAACTGAAATAGCAATTACAACATATTTACTTGATCTAGGTTACATCAACTCCCTAGGAAGGAGTTAGTTCCTCATAGACATGGTAGCAACTTCAAGGATTGAAGAAGAGAAAGATTTCCCTTGCTGCCCCATTGTTGCAAAACTCAGCATAAAACCCTAAGGAAAATCCTCTCTCTCTATATCCCCTTTTAGAATCCAAAATTAATTAATTCCAAACAAGCCTTTACCCCCTCTTAATCCCTAAATGAGTTTCCAAACAACCCAACTCTTCAAAATTCAAATCCCCTTTAGAAAGGAACAAACTTTTGACTTATTCAAAATGGGGGCACGATGCATGGTGTCTGGACGCGAAGCATGGCGTCCGGACGCGAAGCATGGCGTCTGGACACGAGGTGTGGCTGCATGGCTTCTTTCTTCTCTTCTGCAGTGCTGAATGTATCCATAGAATATTTGGGCCATCTCTTCTTGAAAACCACTTGATATTGAGGCCAGATATGACTTGTTCTTCAAAAACCCTTAAAACCTTATTTTATTTCTTTTTAGCAAATAAACCTGAAAAAAACATAAAAACACAAAAATGAAGATAATCTATATACAAAGATCAAATAATGGGCTTAACTAATGCAATTAAGGGCGCTTAAATATGCAATATCCGGCACTTATCAACTGCATAGGAGATGCCTGGACGAGTGATTGTGAACTAAATAAGTTTACCTACAAGTCTTCAATACATCTCTGGATCATCGAGTGGGTCACCATCATCCACCTTAAGTTTTACATTAGTCTCCATGGGTGCAGCTACAGGTTTCGAACCAAGATATCCAGTATCCTGTAGTAGATCAGGAGTGTACTTCCGCTGAGAAAGACTAATGCCTTGTTTCGACCGAGCCACCTCAATTCCAAGAAAATACCGAAGTTTGCCCAAATCCTTAGTAAGGAAGCTAAAACTTAAGTGATGGATTAGAACTTGTATCCCATCTTTGTTACTGCCGATGATAACAATATCATCTACATATACCACAAGAATCATAATACTATGTTTCGTTTTCTTAAAAAGGAGAGAGTGGTCAGCTTGGCTTCTAGTCATACGATGAGCTACTACTGCTTTACTGAACTTATCAAACCATACACGAGGGGACTGTTTGAGGCCATAGATAAACTTCTTGAGACGTCACACACACTCCCCTTTATACTCAAGCCTAGGTGGTTCAGTCATATAGACTGTCTCATTGAGGTCACCGTGCAAAAAGGCATTTTTAACATCAAGTTGATGAAGTGGCCAGTTTAGATTAGCTGCAAGAGAGATTATCACACGAACAGAATTCAGTTTGGCCATAGGAGAGAACGTCTCAGTATAATGAAGGCCATAAGTTTGAGTGTAGCCTTTAGCAACAAGTCAAGCTTTGAGACGGTCAACAGTACCATCAGGCTTCTGTTTAACAATAAAAACCCAACGACAACCAACAACCTGAGTATTAGCAGGCTTAAGAACAAGGTCCCAAGTGTGATTCAATTTTAAAGCGTTTATTTCTTCTTCCATAGCTTTCCTCCACCCTGGATGAGAAAGCGCCTCCATGTAGAACTTAGGAAGAGCAATAGAGGATAGGGTGATTGGTACAAGACCGTTTACCTTTCCGAACAGCAATAGATTGATCAAGATCAGAGGGATGGAAGAATCTCCAGGCGTTGAAGCGACTGGTGGAAGTGGCAAGGCTGGGTTTACTACTTTAGTCGTTGGAACATGATTAACTACTCTTTTTCCAGCGACAAGCATAGACACGAAGAGCTGATGGGATGTCAGAATCAAAAACTGGGGTTGGAAGAACACACTCTTAAAGAACAGAGTCCTCCAGGCAACTGCCTTCTTGAGAATAATAAGGAACATCCTCAAAGAAAGTTACATCTGCACACACAAAATGTTTATGAAGAATTGGTTGTCAGAAAACATCATTTGGAAGGGCGATTTTCCTTGAAGGGCCCTAGAAGGCATGTGGTTTAAAAGATAAGTAGCAACCAGAACTGCATCTGCCCAAAAATGTTTTGGAACATGCATTTGAATTATTAAGGCATGAGCAATAGCTAGGAGTGGGCAATTCTTCCGTTCAGCAACTCCATTTTGTTGAGGGGTATCAACACAAGATGTTTGATGGATAATGCCCCTCGACTCAAGAAACTTTTGAAAAACATTAAGTTTATATTCAAGGGCATTGTCAGTTCTAAGAACAAGTAATTTTGCATTAAATTGACTTTGAATTTCAGCATAAAAGGATTGAAAACAGAGAATACTTGAGATCTATCTTTAAGAATATAAACCCAAGTTAATCGTGAATAATCATCAATAAATGACACAAAATAACGAGCATCAAATAAACCAGTAGTACGAGATGGTCCCCAAACATCTGAATGTACCAACTTAAAAGGTTTTAAACTTTTATCAAAACGAGACTTAAAAAGTAGCCCGACGATATTTACTAAGTTCGCAAGTAGTACAATTAAACTTAGAAAAATCAACTAAAGAAGGGACCAAGGCTCAAAGACTATTTGAAGAGGGATGTCCAAGGTGGCAATGCCACTGGTAAGCTGAAGAAGAGGTGGAATGTAAAGCTGTCGGAACAGTAGTTGGTTGGAAGTAGTAAAGACCATCCTTCTCAAACCCCCCATCAATCGTTTTCTTTGTCTTGAGATCCCGAAAGACACAACAGGAAGGAGAAAAAGTAACTGAGCAATTCAAATCTAATATAATTTGCAAACTAACAATAAATTGAATGAAAATTGAGGGATATATAAAACTAATGAAAAAGTGAGACCCGAAGTGCGGAAGGTACCAATTCCATGAACAGGCGATTTGGCACCATTCGCTATAGTAATAACCAATGGTTAGAAAACATAAGAAATATCAGAAAGAAGAGATAGGTTACCTGTCATGTGATCGGATGCCCCTGAATCAATGATCCAAGGTGTAGAAGATGAAGCATGGAGACACGTATTACCTAAAGTAACGATAGTAGCGGTGGAGGAGGGCTGATTTGCATGCTCATGCTTTACCAGTTTGGTGCTGGTGATTGACCCAAGAAGATGGGATTCCTTAGTATCCATCACAAAAGCTGCCGAACAAATGAGATATAGTAGCAAGAAGGAGCCGAGATAAGAGAACCAAGATCTAACCGAGATGAACCTGAGAGAAATTATCGAGGAGAGAGCCCAGGAGGGATCCGAGAGAGATTGTTGAGACGAAAACTGAGATCACCGAGGAGAGATCGCCAAGAAGAGATTGAGAGAAAGCCGAGATGGAATCAAGATCAGAGTCTAAATGAGACTAAAAAAAAAAATTTAAGAGGGATCGATTTCTGCTCTGATACCATGTTGAAAGAGAGAGAGAGAGAGAGAGAGAGAGAGAGAGAAAGAGAATATATGAAAACTTTATGTTATTAAGTAATACAATAATACAATGGTGTTTATAGGAGAAGCTACGGGTGTAGGTGAGTGGAGAACAAGAAAACCCTATACATGGTAATTCTATAAATGGTAATGGGGGGTAGGTGACAACTCTACAATACTAACTGTACACGTGTAACAACTCATACAATATTGTACGACACTATATATATATATGTCATGTATAATCCACTAACAAGTCACGATCTTGGAAAATTCAAGGAAAACTTGAATGCTATGTGTTTTTTGTGATGTCTAAGTGACCCACCAACAAAGCTACTCATATCTTCTAGGATGTCATTCTTAGTGATTCAACAAAATAATAATAGAAGACGTAAAAAAAAAAAATTAATAATAACAATAATAATAACTAGGAAAAATGAAAATGATAATAATAATCTTTTTTTATGTAGAGGTAAATAATTAATGAAGAATGCATGTTCAGCTATCAACCAAAGACATATGAGGAATTTTTTTACCAAAATCAAGCCAGCCACTGAAGCATATGGTTCAAGGCAACAACGATATGCATAATTCCGGAAGCTTTAAAAAAGAAAGAGAAGAAATAGCATGTGACTGAAGAAAAGAAGCAGGTAGAAGCTTACAGTAGCTTACCTCATCATAAAGATAAGGGAAAGGATAATTAAATTGTTTAGCTTCTTCTGCCATGAGTTGTGGTCCATCCTGTGAGGAGCAGTTCGATTTTGGACAAATCATGTAACAGCATCAACAGTTGATCTGAAATTACGGGATAATCAGTACCTGTGGGTGGGTAGCTACAGAATTCGAAGATATCGCAACAACTGCAAGCCCCTTCTGCAGAAGAGTACAGGAAACTTTAAACATGTCGCTTTTGTGTGGTAATTAGTTCACCCAAGTGCATGGTACAAAAGACACAATTGCAATCCTACGAGGAGGAAATCAACTGGCTACCGGCCTACCTTCATATAGAAATTTGAAAGCTTCACAATATCTTTTTTCAAGTGCTTAACAAATGGGCAGTGGTTGCAAATGAACATGACCTGCACTATCACATTTAAGTCCTCATAATTGCTTATATTAAAAAGAGGAAAAAATGAACACCAATGCAAGTTCAATAACAATGCAAAATTTGGGATGCTTCTCATGTTCGGGATGACTAGAGGATCAAAACACTTGTTAGGCCTCGAGGGCCAAAACCATTCAATATATCTATGACCAATGTCTTAGTATTTTATGATTGCAACTTTTCCATGGTAAGAACTATAGTGCAACATACCAGCTCAGCACAGATTCACCATGCTAATATACTGACGATGACCTAATTTATGTCAGCCAGATCATACAATGTCAAGATTCTTGATCCTATATCAGTAATTTCAATCCAAGTAATAAATTAGAATCAGGTGTGCACTCTATCTGTTCTGTGAACAAATGAGTCCAATAACTTTATTTTATTCTTATGTGATGCAAAGGATCAACGGCAATGTAAGTATTTTTCTTTTTCTTTTACCTTGGCAAGAAACTCACACACCCCCTTTGCCTATATGAGGACTTGAACCCTCACCCTTCCACTTTGGAAGGCGAGGAAGTACCACCAGGCGACAGCCCTTGGTGACAATGTAAGATTTAGTACCATAGGATCCCTTTAAACCCCAATATTATGTTGTTTTGTCTCAAGATGATAAATGCCAACTTATAACCGTAATCATTCAACCAGAGAAATGGTTTGATTTAGGTCAATGAAATCCTGGGTCACTATTCTGGGATATCAAGTCACATATTACTCTTTGCTGCAACTTTGTCAGGTCTAAAGTGCAATATCAACATAAATATTTTATTAGGTTATCAGGCCTATTGAAGAATCCAAATATCTTTCATTGACCATTGTTTCCTTCATATTACGAAGCAAGATTTTAAAAAATAAATAAATAAATAATCAGAAGTAATAATAATTGGAAATTGGTAAGATTGAGTTTTTTATGAAAATGTTTACCTAAAAGAACACAACACAATAACAACTCAACTCGTATAGGATGCACAAATTTCAAAGTTTCTTTTTTTTTTCCCTCCCTTTTTGCGCCAGTAAGTCAAATGTAATAAAATTTTAAAAGCAAAATATAAAATAGTTAAAGTATATAATACTGAGAAGATTTAGGTGAGAAGAGAAGAGATGAAGAGAAAGTGATTAGAGAAAAGGTTTAGGGCAGACAGCTGATATTACCCTGACCCTTCACCTTGCCACATATTTATGTTAGAATAGAGACAAATACAATAATACCCTTAGGGTAAAATAACCAAATAAAATAACAACTCTAAAATATAATAACTATAACACTATCCCTCAAGCTGGAGCATATAAATCAAACATGCCCAGCTTGAAAGACAAACGTCGAAATGAAGCATTAGCTAACGGCTTCGTGAGAATATCTCCCAGTTGATCATCCGAGCTAACATAAGGAATGACAATTTGTTTCTTCATCAGCAAGTCCCAAATAAAGTGACAGTCAACCTCTATATGTTTAGTACGCTCATGGTACACAAGAAAAATAAGAAGTTTTGGGTTTTGGCTTTACTCAAATCGAGAGCCAAGATCTATATTTATATACAAGAATAAGGTACAAAAAGAAAGGGAGCCAAATCAAAGAAAGACAGAAAATATACCAAAATCTACGTGATCCCATAATTATAGGGATCTTAAATAAAACACCTAATAAAATGCCAAAACAGCTAATAAAAATAATAATAATAATAATAAAGATATTTCAACACTCCCCCTCAAGCTGGAGTGAAGATATCAATCAAGCCAAGCTTGGTAATCGAGAAATGAAGCAAAAGATGGACCAACAGATTTGGTGAACACATCGGCCGACTAATTAGAGTAACGAACAAAGCACGGCTTTATAATTCCCGAACGAACCATCTCCCTAATAAAATGAATGTCCACCTCTATATGTTTAGTCCTCCCGTAAAGAACAGAATCTGAAGCAAGCATGATAGTTGATTTATTATCACAAAACAAGTCTGAGGACTGTTTTTCACCTAGCCCTAGCTCCTCTAAGAAAGATCGAAGCCAGAGAATCTCATCAGTACCCTAAGCTATGGCACGATACTCAGCCTCTGCTAAAGATCTCGAAACTACAGATTGTTTCATACTTTTCCAAGATATAAGATGGTCTCCATAGAAAGTACAGAAGCCAGATGTGGAACGTCTATTAGTCTTGGAATCAGAAAGGAGATCTCTGAACTCAGCCGAGATCTTCAGATTAGGATCCATAGGAGTTGAAGTAGGTTTACACTCAAGCATACCCGTGTCTCGAAGAAGATCCAAGACATACTTCCTTTGCGGTAAGGAGATACCCTGCTTAGATCTAGCAACCTCAATTCCCAAGAAATATCTGAGCTGCCCAAGGTCTTTCACATCAAAAGCTTTAGCTAATTAAAGTTTCACTTGAGTAATCCCAAGGACGTCATTGCCAGTAATGATGATATCATCAACATAGACAAGCAGAATGATACATCGACCAGTGAAGAACGAGCAACCTCAATTCCAAGAAAATAACGAAAAACACCCAAGTCTTTATTATAGAATTGTTGGCCCAAATGTTTTTTTTAAATTAGCAATACCTACGGAGTCACTTCCAAAGATAATATTATCATCCACATATACAATCAAAATAATAGTACCCGTAGAAGACTGATGAACAAAAACTGAATGATCAGAAGTAAAGGGTGGAAACCATAGGCAAGTACAACTGCACTAAAGCGATCAAACCACGCACGGGGGGACTTCTTTAGACCATACAAAGCCTTTCGCAGTCGACAAACAAGATTTTCGCTGCCAGCAACAACATAACCAGGGGCTGATCCATGTACAATTTCCTCCTGAAGATCACCATGGAGGAATGCATTCTTTATGACAAGCTGGTATAAGGGCCAAGAACAACTGACAGCAACAGAAAGTAAGATCTGTACAGAATTTAAACGAGCCACAAGAGAAAAAGTCTCTAAGTAATCAATGTCATAAGTTTGTGTGTACCTTTTAGCGACCAAGCGTGTCTTAAGACGCTCAACAGAACCATCAGGAAGGTACCTAACCGTATAAACCCAACGACAACCTACTGTTTGTTTTCCAGGAGGAAGAGTAGTAAGCTCCCAAGTCTGATTCTTATGAAAGGCACTCATTTCCTCATCCATAGCATGTTTCCATCCAGATGAAGACATAGCCTGCTTATAAGATATAGGAACAAAAATAGAGGACAATTGAAGATGCAAAGAATTAACTCTCTCTATTTTGACAGAGTCTCATTACATTTTCAATTCAAAGATCCCTTACATTCTCTCCTTCCTGCCTATTTATAGGCATTTACAAGTGCTATTAGAATGCTACGAGTGATTCCCTAAGTTAGGTCTCTCGACCTCAGGCCTCATTCCTTATGGGCCTAGCTCTTCTCGGAAGATCCTATGCATTCGGCCCATTCCGCAACGTCATCTTGTGGGCTGAATCCAGTTTCTCGGCCTAATCCTCTTTTTGTGAGTCATATTCGGCCCATATCACTTCCAGTATCCTCAACTGCCCCCATAATTACTCCCTAATTAATTAGGGGGTAATTATTAGAGGCTGCTAATCATGGCTTGACGGCTCGAGAAGATCTCATGGAAGAATGGATGGTTGGATTTGGGAGTCGGTGCTTCGAGATCCAAAAAACTCCTCGCTTTCCTGACTCTTCGGCCTTCGGGCCCACCTTGTCTTTATAAGCCTCTGAGATGTTCCATCAATCCTCTTTACCGTCTCTATCTTACTTTACTGTTAGTCAAATCTCCATTTGTCTCTTTTGAGTTGAATCTCCTCCGACGAACCTTTGCAAAAGCTTCTTTTTTCGGTGATCTTGCGGTGCTCTTCGCGGTGTTCAATCTTTCGAGGTTAGTCTTGCTTTTTTCTCCTCCTCTAGGGATTTGCTGTTCTTCCTCAGAATCTTTGTTCGTTTTCACCATGACTATAGACTTAGATGTTATTCGTATGCAACTTAACCTTCCTGATGACATTCAAATTAGGGCTTGGCCAAAAGATGTAAATATTAGGACTGGTGCTGGCCTTCTTCCCGGCGAGGTCTTGTTTTCCAATCTTCAATTAAATCTCATTAGGTTCCCTCTGCATCCCTTCTTTAGCTACGTTTTTAATAAACTGAAACTTTCCCCTTTGCAAGTAAACCCAAATTTTCTTAGGGTTCTATCCGTTATGTTGCTTCTGAACCGTGACCGAGGTCTAGATCTTGACCTCATAGATCTTCTCCTCTGTTACAAGGTTAGCAAAATCCGAACTGATGAATCGTTTTACCATTTCTACCCAATTGAGAAAAGGTCCATATGCAAAGATAAAATCAAATCTGAGAAGGGTTGGAGGAAAAATATAGTTGGGATTAGGGGAACCTGGTTTTCTCCATCCGCAGAGGACTTCCCTATCCCGAGCGCTTTTGGCGAGTGCTCTGTTTCTTCGTATAAAAAATACAAAACCCATAAGAGTGACTGTCCTTGCTAGATTTGTGTTCCTCGCTTTTGTACTTTCTTATGCCGTTCCTTAGGCATTCCTTGTGATGATTTGAGCTACAGTGTTTGCAGGGATAGGGATAACTATTTGAAGAAGTACGTTCTGAACGACATTCCCTCTTGCTCGGACCTCCTTACCTCAGACAAACTTCTTGCTCTCTCAGCCCTTGGCAAGACAATGAGTCAACTCCAGATCCCTTCCTTCTGCAGGAAGAAAGCTGCCCCCAGCTTCAGCTGTTACCCCTGCGGCAACTTCTTCCCCAGCTTCAGCATCTTCTTCTGCTACTATTTCTAATACCATTCCTTCCATCGACCCGACCGTGACAGCTACCGGCCCGGCCTCCAACGTTCCACCCGTCAATCCGAACGTGACCCCTTCTATCAGCAACCTTCCCAGCTCTGCTACTGTTGCTACTCGGGAAAAGGCGAGAGGAAAAAGGCCTCAGCCTGCCAGTGCTCTTAGCATTGATGACATCCCTTTGTCACAAAGGGTTAG